TCTTCTTTTTCCCTTTTTTTTTCTTTTTTTTTTCCCTTCCTTTTTTTTTTTTCTTTTTTTCTTTTCTTCTTCTTCTTCTTCTTCTTCTTCTTCTTCTTCTTCTTCTTCTTCTTCTTCTTCTTCTTTTTCCCCCTTTTTCCAGAAAGTCTTTTGGGGGGGAACGTGCTGAGTACCCTTTTCTCCTCCACCGCGGTTGGGGAACCACAGTCTGGGTCCCCAATAAAGGGTTTTTAATTGCATTCATCATGTGTTTTAAACCCTTGGCAAAACCCAAAACTTTGTAAACATAAATCCATTCCCCCCCTCCATTAGTGGAGTTATGAAATTTTTCTTTAATCCAATGTTTCCCTCCAAATTTCCCCGGGGAAAAAGGGAAAATTTAAATATTGGTGAAATTAAATTAATTCTTAATTTGTCCTTACCCCAAGGGGTAATCAGGATGATCCTTTTCTTTTTCTAAGGGCCCCCATAAGAAAGGGGTTGTGACTCCCCTAATATTTAATGATGAAAATCACAACGACATTCAATCTCTCTGTTTAAAAGATGGCGGCAAAATCGGGAAAAATTTTCCCTAAAAAAGATGGAGAAGAACCAAAGCAACAGAAATGTGAACAAGGGGGAAGGGCTTAAAAATAGTGTCCACAGGAAGATTGGTAAAGGGGAAGGGGAAAAGGCACTATTAACATTTTGATGGGTTCTATCTTTTTCTGAGATGATGTATTTTTTCCTTTAAAATTATTCGGTTTTGTCCTCTTTTTTTCCATTTTATTACAACGTTTACCTTTCAGAAATTGTCTATATTTTCTGGGATGAGGAAATTATGTACACTTTTTCATTATCCGGACTTTTCCCACTCATTTTTGCCCCAATATTTATTACGGTATCAGCCGTTTACGCTCTGTATCTTCTATTTCTGAATGGGGTTTATTCCCCTATTTACATTATTCGGACTATTTTTCATCTTTTCCCATGTTTATTAAAACTTTTCCGGCCTTTTAACATCCAGCCTTCTTCAGTTTCTGCCTATATTTCTGAAATGGGGTTTTAATATGCCCACTTTTTTCCAATATTCGGACTATTGCCCTAATTTTTGTCATATTTTTATTCAACCTTACCCTTTTGGAATCTGTCTTTTTTTCTGAGATGATGAAATTATTTTCCCCTTTTACATTATTCGGACTATTGCCCCTCATCTTTGTCAAATATTTATTACGACTTTCCCAGTTTTTTTGGGTTTTTCCCAGGTTTTTAAATTTTTCAAACTGAACTAATGTAAAATTTTTATTATTTTGCGGCAAATGGATGGGGGAAAAAAAATTTGGGAGAAAAAAACCCTTGACACGACAAAAATGCTCCCAAAGGGCCAGGAAGATGTGGAGGCCATGATCCCCTATTCCTGAAAAAAAACAGCACATAAAGAAGAATATAAAGGTCACTCTCCCCGGTTTTTTCCCCCGGGTTTTTTTTGAGAAGGGGCCGGAGCATAAAGGGAGGATTTAAATACCCGAGGGGGGGATGGTTCTCCTTTCTCAACGGTCATCCAAAACAAAATGGGAGATTAGCTCCATGGGTATGTATATAGCCATGGCATTGCTGGGCAAAAGAGCCTCTTGGACTGAAGCCCGTGGGGCCCGGCCCCGGAGGTTTTCCCCCTGTCCCGGGAAATTAAAAAGGGCTTTCCGTAATTTGGAACCCCGGGAAATTTAAGCAATCTCGGTTTTTGAAATTTTACCTTTAAGGCATGAACTTACATGTCTACCTTTACACAACACATGAATGAATACCTCCCCCTTTAATCAGATTTTGAGAAACAGTCGGGCCTTTAAAAACGTGGCGACCCCAAAAAACCCGCCCCGGGTTTTGGGGTTAATTTTAATGATATTCATGCTGACACCTTAAAAACAAAGTTAATTTTCCATATTAAAATTAGATAAAAAAGTTTTTTTCCCATCATATTCCTTTTGGGAAAAACGGTGACAATAAAAAATATTTAAAACTTCTTTTTAAAATATCAGCCATTTAGATAATGGTATGAGACTGAGATAGATAGATAAGAAAAGATAGATAGATAGATAGATGGGTGGAAAGGGGTAGATGAAAAATAATGAAAAAAGGGGAAATTTTAAAAGAAAAAAGAAAGAAAAAAAAGAAAAAAAAAGAAAAAAAAAAGAAAAAGGGAAACCCTTGAGACAGAGGGCTCCTGGCAAACCCAATTTATTTCCCGGAAAATAGATAGATAGATAAGGGTAGAAAAGATGAAATAGATGAATGTGTGTGTTAGTGGGGAAAAAGATGGGGTAAGGGGTACTCTCCCTTTTTAAAACATAAAATCGGTTTTTGGTTTCAATATGGATTGAAAAGTGAACGAGTGAAGTTATATTTATATTAACCCTTTCTTTGGGAATTCCGTGCGAAAAGGAAATTATGTTAGTGTAGTCTAAATTAATTCTTAACTGTCACTTATCAGAAGTAATCAGGATGATACATTCTCTTTCTAATGGCTTCCCCATAAGAGAAATTATTTATGACTCAACCTAATATTTAATGATGAAAATCACATACGACATATGCAATCCGTCTCTGATTAAGATGGCGGCGAATGCTGGACAATTTCCTCAAAGATGGAGAAGAGACACAAAGCAACAGAAATGTGAACAATGAGGAAAGAGGGCTTAGAAAATATGATGTCCACGGGAGAGATTGAGTAAAAGAGGGACAGAGGAAAGCACTATGTAACATATTTGATGGGTATCTATCTATATTTCTGAGATGATGTATTATGCACACTATTTAAATTATTCGGACTATTGTCCTCATTTTTGTTTCCATATTTATTACAACGCTTCGGCCTTTCAGTATCTGTCTATATTTCTGGGATGAGGTATTATGTACACTATTTACATTATCCGGACTGTTGCACTCATCTTTGTCGCCATATTTATTACGACGTATCGGCCGTTGTACGCTCTGTATCTGTCTATATTTCTGAGATGAGGTATTATGTACACTATTTACATTATTCGGACTATTGTCCTCATCTTTGTCGCCATATTTATTACGACGTTTCGGTTGTTTTGCGGCGTTCTTCAGGTGGTTGGAATTTCGAACTGAACTAATGTAAATATTATACTTGATGTGCTTGAGCAAATGGATGGAGGAACAAAGTTTGGGAGAAATAACAAAATGACACGACTTATTAACTGCTACAAGGGCCAGGAAGATGTGGAGGGCCATGATCGCCTATGTCCTGAAAGGAAACGGCACATAAAAGAAGAATATCAGGTCACTCTCCCGGTTTTCCCACCGGTTTTTTTTGCTGAGGAAGGTGCCTAGACACTAGGCAGGACTAAACCTGCCAGAGGGCGGATGGAAATTCTCCTATTCTCAACGGTCATCAAGCAAAATAGTGTAGATGTAGCTCCATAGCTATGTATATAGCCATGGCATCGCTGGGCAGAGAGCCTCTTGGACTGAAGCCAGTGGCCAGGTCGGAGGTTTCCTCTGTCGGAATTAAGGGTCGCGTGTCCGTGAATAATTGGAGCCCCGGAATTGGAAGCAATCTCGGCTGTGATTTGACCTGAGAAGGCATGAACTCCGACATGTCTACTTGTACACAACACATGAATGAATACCTCCCCGGCTTTCAATCCAGATGTGTAGAGGAAACTAGTCAGGTGCTTAACAACGTGGCGACCCTACGACCACGCCCGGTTATAGGATTGAGTATAATGATATTCATGCTGACACGCTAATAACAACAGTTAATATTTCCATATTAAAGTTAGATAAAAATGTTTTTTTACACTATCATATGTACTGGAAGAACGGTGACAGTAAAAACTATTTGTAACTTCTGTTTAAAATATCAGCCATTTAGATAGATAGATATGTGCAGACTGAGATAGATAGATAGATAGATAGATAGATAGATAGATAGATAGATAGGTAGATAGATAGATAATGAAGAGACTTAGAAAGAAAGAAAGAAAGAAAGAAAGAAAGAAAGAAAGAAAGGTAAACCAGTAGAGACAGAGAGCTCGCTAGCGAGCTAGCTAATGATTTCCTGAGATAGATAGATAGATAGATAGATAGATAGATAGATAGATATGTGTAGGCTTGGATAGATAGATAGGCTAAGGCTACTCATCCGTTTAAATCATAAAATCGGTTGTGGATTTCAATATGGATTGAAAAGTGAACGAGTGAAGTTATATGTATATTAACCCTTTCCTGGTGGATGCCACAGTTGCGCATTTCGCACCGGCGTACTGTTTTTGATCTCAAGTCAAACCATTTTGAAAACATCTATATTGAGCAACATTTTCATTATTCGGACTATTGTCCTCATCTTTGTTGCGATAAATATGACAACAAAGATGAGGACAATAGTCCGAATAATGTAAATAGTATACATAATACCTCATCTCAGAAATCGAGATCCTAACCATTTTAAGCTAAACGCATACGCTTTTATTTTTTTTATTTTTGTGTACATTGAAAAAGAAAGACTGTTTCAATACTGGAAGCAGACTTGTCCTAAAGTTGTGCCAAAGTCTTTGAGAAACAGAAGCATATATCACGAAATAATTCCATTAATATTTACCACAACGCTTACCAAATATTTTAGCTTTGTTGACGTATAGCATCAACGAGAAGTGAATTCTCTTCTGACAATAAAGCATTCGAATCAATGCTTCAATTAAACGTGTCTGCATCAATAGAAAATTCCACCATTTAATCATCGTAGGTTTTATGGCGAGTGTCACCTGCACAGAGTATATTCGCATTTAGAAATTAGTTGGGTGTTAATAAAGTACCGCCATTTTCTGTAGCAGACATTTTCAACGAGTCTTATATTCTTTAGGAGAGTCGAACAAAATTTCGCCTTGCTTGATAAAAGACTAAATTTTGAGTAATAGACACACGACAAGGGATGGACCATAATAAAAGCCAGTCTTTTGATGTTGAGTTTAGTCCTTACTAGTAGATTGATATTTAAATTAGGAGCATAGATAGATAGATAGATAGATAGATAGATAGATAGATAGATAGATAGATTGAAATAAAGAAAGAATAGACGAGATATATAGAACAGACTGTCATACAGTGGCATAAATATAAACAGACAGGTATATTGATCGATAGATATGAACATTTATATATATATACACTGCGTGCCAAATTATTATCGAGATAACTTTTTTCTAATATTTCAAAAACCGTCCAATCAATTCACACAAAATTTGTTTACATTGCGCAGATCAGTACGAAAAATTCAGTGATTGCGCAGGTCGGTATTGCCAACATTGTGTGAAACTTTTGTGTGAATTGATTGGAGGGTTTTTGAAATGTTAGAAAAAAAGTTATCTGGATAATAATTTGCAATTATATATATATATATATATATATATATATATATATATATATATATATATATATATATATAAATATAGATAACTAGACTCGTTTCGAAAAACCCTCGAATTTTTGATTTGCTAATCAAATCAATCTCGAGGGAAAAAAAAGGTTTTAAAAAAAAGAAAGAGCTACAAACATGGACTTCTGCCGACAAAAAAATCGCACAGATGCAGGTCTGAAGCCCAAAGAAAAAACCCGATACGAGTAACAACTAACTAACAAAAAAGAGCTCAATACAACCGTAGAGCAGACCTAGATACACCCTAGTGAGCCAGACAAACCTTTTTGGTTTCACTAAATGGATCGTCAGGGAAAGTTTGGCCAAACTTTCCCTGACGATCCGTTTAGGTGAAACCTAGGTAGGTTTGTCTGGCTCACTAGGTGTATCTATCTATTCATCTATCTATCTATATATATATATATATATATATATATATATAAAAAAGAGAGTGAGAGTAAGAGAGAAGAATAGGTGTGAAAAACAGCAAACTACAATATGAACAGATTTAGATTTGAACAAAAGTTATATCTATCATATCTATCTGATATATGTGAACACGTTGAGGAAGATATATATATATATATATATATATATATATATATATATATATATATATATATATATATATCCATGGATTGATTAAATTGATGAGTTTTTTGAGAATAAGTATCATTAGAATGAAATAGATAAGAATAAAACCGCTGATAATAAACGTACATAGGTAAAATCGAACAGACAATACATGCACACACACACATATATCTGTGATTGTGTATGTTTGTGTGTATGTGTATGTATATGTATGTATATATATATATGTGTGTGTATGTTTGTGTTTATGTGTATGTATATGTATGTATATATATATTTGTGTGTTTGTTATGTTTGTGTATATATATATATATATATATATATATATATATATATATATGGAGAGAGAAAGAGAGGATGTAAGGATAATGAATATAGATAAATCGAACAGACAAGATAGATATAAACAGAGATAGATAGATAGATAGATAGATAGATAGATAGATAGATAGATAGATAGATATGATCAGAGATAGATAGATAGATAGATAGATAGATAGATAGATAGATAATGAACAGACTGCGACAGATAGATAGATAGATAGATAGATAGATAGATAGATATGAACAGACTGAAACAACGAGATAAAAAGATGAGAGAAAGAATGAGCGATAGATATGAAAATAAGTTAAATAGATAAAATGAACAAGTATGATTAGAATGAATATATATATATATATATATATATATATATATATATATATATATATAGAGAGAGAGAGAGAGAGATAGATAGATAGATAGATAGATAGATAGATAGATAGATAGATAGATAGATAGATATGAACAGACTGAAATAGATATAAACAGATTGAAATAAATAGATAGAATTATAGGTAGATGAAGGTGACGGAAATATATCCACTGAAGTTATCAGACTGAAATATGAACACAGACAGCTCAATTAAGATAAGCTTGAAGTGAACAGAGATAACAGAAACATTAGATTAATAGATTGATGGATCTGAACGGACTAAGCTAAATGGATCGATCTAAACAAAGATCGATCGACAGATATACAACGGGTGAGAGACAGTTACGCAAGCATTATAATTACGACTGCCAAATGGAATGCTTATAATTATCGTAACTGAAGTAGTCGCTTGAATTGCTGGATTCATTCGACCAATTCCTCAGATTAGGACCGTCGATTTCTTCATGCGATCAAGTTTATGAAGCTGCTTTGACGTACGAAGTAGATCAATGAGGCGGAGAGGAGTGAAGTGATACGCGGCGACTATATGATGCAAGGAAGGTCGGTAAATTTTCCCATTAAAATTTTGCGATCAAAACAATAAGAATGAGGCGGTTTGGCCTCATACAGCATTTTATGTTACATGAAAATCAAGTTTTCTTTCCCAGGAATAAATAAAACGTAATTGTTCTTCTTGATATCAAATCGCTATTCAACACCCTTTTCTTTGGCTTTCGGCCACACCACGTTGAAACACCGATTCCAAAATTAAGCCACGTCAGTAACGAGATGGGTGCTGTGAGCATGCATGTGCGGGCAGTGTAATGGATAATGGCCAGGAATTGTTAATCAAAGAGTCGGGTTAACGTCTGCGCAAATACCCCTTGGGAAAGGTATGAATCCATCTCTTCCCCAATTATGGGTTAATTACTAAGACTTGTATCTCTAAAGCATTATTATCTCCAAAAACTTACAATCTAAACATATTTTCTGGCTTTAAATAACCTGCAAAGACGTAGAAAAAGAATCAATCGTTTGCTTTGTTTCTCACGAAAATTTTCCTGTTTCTTAATACTTTACTTAGTTTTTGAAAGGCAACCTTATTCGCTTCATTCCATTGGTATGGAGAAAGTTCCATTTGGACAGCTGCTTTAGAGAAGAGAATCTAGAGATGTGGGCTTTCTCGACCACTACGATTTAACCTGTTCAAATTTAGTGTTAACCGTTGTTTATCTTACATACCTTTCCCATGGACGAAACGTTGCAAGATTCTCGGTACTCTGTCGTTATTTTCATGGCAAATATTCAGACGTGCTATATTACTTATATCACCCAACTCTAACCCTCCCAGCTAAGACCCGTTACGCCGCATACATTTGAAATGAACCGCCCTCGTTTCTTTCTTATTCCTTTAATAAAAAGTAAGTTCCACCCGGATTTTTGTAAAAATCAATCCACCAGAGACAAGGCGGCAATGCCACTAGAACGCAGAGAGTTATGAAAGTGAAAGTGAAAGTGAAAGTGGAAGCGAACGAGAAGACTTAGATTAGCGTTGATTGGGAAAAGGCCAAAAAAGGAATGGGATTCAAGATGACAAAAGATGTTGATTGACGTTGCACTTAATCTTTGAAGATTGTAGTTATCAGGGAAGCAAGAAATTTGAATGGAGTTCCACAGTTTGGAAGTGCGAGAAAAGAAGCTGCTAGAGGTTGTATCTAGCTAGTTCAACAATAAAACGGTTAGACTTAGTTTCCAATGTAGTAGCACGCTTAAATTCATGCAGTCGGAGCACCGGGGAAGAATTTTTACTTTTTGAAGCAGAATCCCAAGAGGATACTTTTTTAACGACTACCATCTCAACCCCTTAACTCAGTGTTACTCATTCGGTGCGCCCGGGTGTACTAATGCGCCCAGAAAGATAGCCCGGTGCGCCCGAAAGTTAACATAACAGTAATCTATTAATTATTTTTATATCTAAAAATAAACATTATTTTTTAAAAGCTAAAGACACGAAGCACATGGCTTCCATGTCTAAGTCGAGTCTTTGTTATTTGGTATTTTCAGCTGGATGTTAAATCTGTTAATCTTTAAGGAGTGGATAATCCTTTCCATTTTCCCTTCTTTGATGGATTTAAATCAGTTATTATCGGTTTCTCTAAAAAGAAAAATAGCAGATTCTACACAAAATCATTTCAATGAAAAATCTACCGCTTAAATAGACGATGTAATCTCTTCAAAATAAATCCTTATTTCAGGAGATTTCCTTTTTCATTTTTCCTTGTTAAAATGTAAAGTGCGCCCCGGAGTTTTAATTATTTTACAGTTCGCTCTGAATTAAAAAATGGTTGAGAAACCCTGCCTTAACTACAGTCTAGGGTTAATTATTAACTTTCTCACATATCCACATAAACTGTGTTGCTTACTCTTACCGCTGTCACACAAGACGCTTTCAGTAACCCTCTACATTGAATGACTCTCGAGCCGTGTTTAGAATAAATATTAATAAAAATATATATTCATAATCTAAAATTTTTCCATCCATAAAACAATATCTTAGATAAGGTATTTTATTTATTTACATTATTTACATTCTTCGGACTGTTGTCCTCATCTTTATGGCCGTATTCACGACGTTTCGACCGTTGTGCGCTCCGGACTTCTTCAGGTGATTAGAATTTTGAACTGAACTCTTCCGAGTAAGATCCCTATGGACGAGAACATGACTAAGGTCTGTGTGTACGCCATCCCGTGCAGCTGTCGTAAGAAACAGACCGCCCCTTAATGTTAGACTGCAAGAACATCGTAAAGCCGTAACATGAGAGGAAATAAAAAAAATCACGCGTAGCTGACCAAATATGGAGAGAAAAGGGAGATCATCGCTACCTGTGGAATGAAATTGAAGTAACAGACAGAGAACATCACTGGAAAATACGAAAACTTAAGTAATCAGCATATATGCTTGACCGCAAAAATCTCCTGAGCCGACCAAGTATAGAAATGAATACAATATGGGAACAGTAATATGGAGTGCTTGAGAAAAGGCAATGAATAACAACAAAATTGCAATATGAGAGCTGGTGAAAAAAAGACAGTAAATTTGTATTTCCTAAAACTTCAGACACTGATTTTCTCAAATCACGTGACCCAGTGGATAAAAATGTTGGTTGGATCCAGAGTTGGGAATTCAATAGCGAGCTACTGCAGTGCTGAACAAAACCTTAAAGAGTTAAGGATGAGTTAAAGAGAGATAACTGAGACATCTGGAAGAGGCATGGCACGTGGAATAATCTATCCTGGTGGACACGATAAAGGGTTCAGTTCAAAGTTCATCATCACAACGGCCGAAACGTCGTGAATATGGCCATAAAGATGAGGACAACAGTCCGAACAATGGAAATAATCTGATTAATTACAATACCTCATCACAGAAATATAGACAGATTCTGATGAAGGCCGGAACTTACAACGGCCGGAACGTCATGAATATGGCAATAAAGATGAGGACCACTCATTTTCTGGTGCAGCAGCTGGTTAGGTGTACAACAGGATTAAATACAAGACCTGTCACTGGGTAGATGGACATTCTTCTAGGTTCAATAGCCATCTAGCACAACGCTAAGCACTGAGCACTATAGCTAAGGATGGAGCCAGCCTAGGAGATAAAAAACTTATAAAAACTCAGATGTATGGAGGCCAAGACTAGAAATATAGAGATTCCATATAGAGTAAATATCATCACCGGAAAGAACTTATAAGAGTAGGGTGCAGACAGAATAACAAAGGCAAGGCACACAATTCAATGCAATTTCGTTTGGCACTGTTAATATATCCTCAGATGTATGGAGGCCCAGACTAGAAAGATGGTAATTCCCTATAGACTAAACATCATCGATGGAAAGAACTTATAAGAGTAGGGTGCAGACAGAATAACAAAGGCAAGGCACACAATTCAATGCAATTTCGTTTGGCACTGTTAATATATCCTCAGATGTATGGAGGCCCAGACTAGAAAGATGGTCATTCCCTATAGACTAAACATCATCGATGGAAAGAACTTATAAGAGTAGGGTGCAGACAGAATAACAAATTCAATGCAATTTCGTTTGGCACTGTTAAAAAATTTTTAAATAATCCATTCTCGTACCGAACTATTCGGGCAACTCCATATATAGTTGTTCCGATGAGTAAGGAGTTTAACCGAGAGATAAACGTGTTTCGACCGCCTGCGGGCTCATTCTGCGCCTGAATTTGAACTACTGGCAGTAAAAGAGTGCAGTGATATTAAGACATCGCTGACCGGGGAGACTTCCTACACTGGTCAATGGTCAGGGCGAAGGGTTCTTCCTATCGAACCGACAGCCACACGTCCGTGACCAAGTTGAGCCTTCAAATTGAAAATCATCGGCTGTGGTTTGACTTGAAGAGTGATGGGCTCCGTCAGGTCTACTTTCCCAAGACAGTCCATGTATTAAATCCTTATATGGACAGGGAACTGGTTGTCTAGCTGATTAGCGAACCTACCACCACATTCGGTTATAGGTTTAGGTTTCTTTTTTATTTTATTGCATATCAACACCTCAATGGGTTATTTAATGCCGACAATATTTTTGGATAGGTTCGTATGAATATAATATGTATTCTTTGTAAGAAATCACTTAGTAGATCAGGTTTCATTGACTCATTTTTATAAAGAGGGTTTTTGTCGAAAGTCAAATGTATTGCTGGTAGTATTTTTTAAAAAAATGAATTGCTGGTATTTTTACTATAAAAATTTATTCTTATATTTTCATATCCTTTTGACCCCTCTTTCTGTATTAACTCTTTGCCCTTTAGCTGGGGCCCTAACAGGTGTAACCATCCCGGGTCAGGGTGAACCTGGAGATAACAGTAATTAAGAGGTTGTCCCACACTCCGCAAAACCTTCCGATCAGAGGCCTTGCTGCCGGATGTAGTTTATCATCTTACCCAGGATACTAGGTTATAGGACTGATGATTATGGCGATGATGGGCATGTGATATATCTATCTATTGGGCAGTGTATCTTTTTCGTGTACATCCTATACGTTGTATATGCTTGTGACTAACGCAAACGAACGATGGAATATGTGTCTTGACTCATTGCCAAAAAAGTCGTATAATTTTGCCGACCAATTTGCCTTGAAGTCTCAGCGGTGATAGCATTTATGACGAGCAGATTTCAGTGAATGAATCCTATGATGCTGAGATTTTCATTAGAGATTAGCGCACAATGATAAAATCAACGAAGGCGAGCTTAAACGTTGATTGATTCAAGCAAATAGAGATGAGCGATTGATTTACCGGAAGATGAGAACAAAAGAAAGGCAAGAAGAGAAAGAAACAAAAAATAATTAGTCGCACAATATACGAGAAACAAAATGGCGACTCATTATCGTCAGCGCGGGAAAG